TTGATTAAGTTGTAAGTTGTAAGTTCAGTTGAGCTGCCCAAGATTAGCAACAACTAGTTGGAACCAACATATACAGAATTAGACTTAACTGGAATTCCTCTAAATATATTTCATTTGCTGCAAACAAACTTAGGCCTGAATCATTTGTCTTCTGTCAAATATAACATTGTGATAGAGTTTCAACTAGTTACATTGCAACATCCAAAATTCAGAGACACTGGCACTTCACTCGTTAAATTACAAAATCAAAAGATCTCCCAAAAATCTGTCAAATATAACATTGTGATACAGCTTCAACTTGTTATATTGCAGCATCAAAAATTAAGACACTGGTACTTCAACAGTTAAATTACAAAATCAAAGGTTGTCTCCCAAAAATCTAATGGTTCCATGCTGTCTTGTGTCCCCCAAACGCTTGAGGTGGTGAAGGAGATGATATGCTCATCACTTGATCCTCCTCTACCGGCATGTTGTTTGAGACATTGTCTTTGGACAAAGTAGGCCTATTCGAAGATGCCGAGTTCAACGTCACCTACAAGAGTCAACGCTAACATTAACATTGTAACGTGAATAATGTATTATGTGATAGCTGAATTATGAATTGAACAACAAACCTTATTCGTAGGTTCTTTGGAGCGCCTTTACGTTTTGTACACTTCAGATTGAAAATGTTGACGCTGTAAGTCTAAGATAGACTAATCAAGAGGGGGTGAATTGATTTTTTAAACTTTTTCGTTAATTACTACAAAATTTTAAATAAATGATAACACAAATGATAAAGAAATAAGCTAAATGAGAATACCCACGTAGATGGTATAATATATGCTAGCACAAAGTAAAACGTTAAGTAGAGAGTTAGAGAGTGCAAACTATATGTTATGGAGGTTCGATCCAATATATGCTTGCACAAAGTAAAACGCTAAGTAGAGAGTTAGAGAGTGCAAATGATATGTTATGGAAGTTCGATCCAACCCAACGATCTACGTCCCCTGTTACCAAACTCTTCGTCAAGAGTAAGGCCTTTTTCACTATGTTGATTGACTTGTGGTGCAATTCAACCATTTACAACGCTTCCGGTGACTTACAACCAAGGAGTATCGATCCTTTTACAATATTGAGCTTTTCAGGGACCTCAACATGACCCACAATTTAAAATGAATTTACAAGTGAAATCTTCTATTCTTTTTTAATGATAGAATCAAGATTGATAACAAGAAGAGAAGAGGCAAACACTTCAATAGATGGTAATGAGTTTAGCTCAAAGTATTGAGATGAAAAACTTATTGAAGAAACAAAAGAATTTCACGAAGTTAAATCACTCAAAAGTTTTTCAAGAGTTTGATGCTGTTTGTTCTTCTTAAAGATGGATAATAAGGTGGTTGTGAACACTAAAAAACCACACTTAATGCTCAAGAAAATGTGTTGTAAGTGGAGAAATAGTGAGGTATTTATAACGTTCAAACGGTCAAAAACTCTGCTGTACCGGACGCACTTTACCAGACGTCTGGTAAAATACTAGATAGTCAACTAGCCGTTATTTTTTGTCAAAATATTGGACCGTTGAAAAAGTGACCATTGGAACATTTTTTATTACACCTGCCGGACGTCCGGTACAGCCAAGAATGCTTAAAACGTCCTCGTTTATTAAATATTGTCAAATATAAATATTGGAGGGACGTTTAAGATATTTTTCAAAGTTTTTGTCATATTTAAAAATATGTGTTACGATTTTTTACTTTTGAAAAACATAATTTTTCAAGTAAACATTTTTGTCATGAATTTTGTAAAATCAAAACTTTGAGCTTATCATGATGCATTACCAAGTATTAATGCGTTTTACCTTTACATATAATCGTGAAACGTCTAGATACTTAGTTTGAATATCTTACGCGCATTGCTTGACGATACTTTGACTTGTGCCTCGATTTTCATTGAGGCAACCTTTTGCGGGATTTGTAAGATCATTCTTCATGACCTCGATTGTTCATGTTTCCACGTTGGCCATTTTGTACAAATATCTTGATTTTGAACTTTATGCTATCGAATGTATTTATGTGTAATAATCACTATGGACACTTAAATCAATTTGTTAGCAATAAACATAATTTGTTTGTGATAATCAAAATGAGAAGTCAACCATAGGTCAACAGACGCCTTCTATGTTGCCTCCTCCAATTCCATGGGAGGCCAAGCTTTTTGCATTTAACAACACATTAGTTTGCAATTCAATCCATCCCATAAGCTACTTCGAAAGCTCTTCATCAGCTATAACCAAGTCTGCCATCTTAGTTAAAGCAGCATACAATTGCTCATATCTCAATTGCTAAAGAGTATTAACCAAACCATTATATGTTGTTGCGACCCGCGTGTATGGTCTACTCACGTTTTACCTCCATCTCCTTAAAATATACTTTTCGAGAATTCGAAGTAAAACCGAGATAGCATGTTTGCAAATGATACCTCCAAACTCAAACAAATGACAGTTACACACAATCTCGCAATTGTCTCTACGAAAAGAAACTGTAAATATTTTGGTCTTCCTTCCTTCGTTAAGGATGATATCTTCACGGATCTCATACTTCGTTATCCTGCCAAAGTCCTCCGCAGATAATATGTCACATTGAACCTTTCCGGTGAATTCTTCTTAGAATTCCTTGAATTTAGAAATTTTGTAAACTTCTCAAAGCCCGCTCGTACTGCTCTATGAATAGCTTTAAAGATGTCTTCAAGTGCACATAGCCATCGAAGAATGCATTCATGCTCTCACTCCACTGGGTAGTCAACATACCCACCGAGAATGTAGTTCTCAAATAGCATGGTACCCAACAACTTCGATTGTCATAAAGTCTGCTCAACCAAACATTATTTTGCAAATGTAAACGTTCAAGTATGTTTGCCCAGCCATCTTCAAATTCTTCACAAACTAATGTATCATACACTAAATCATGTATGACATACAGTATTGCACCTTTTTCACATTGACCGTCGAACTTTTCTGACAATTTCTTTAGAATATGCCACAAGCACCACCTATGCTTACTGCACGATCTTGATATGTAATTATTCCATCGGGAGCTTGACCATGAATGCACTCAAGCCATGTCCTGAATAACCAAATAAATGTATGCGTGTCTTCGTTCTTAACCAATCCACAACCAAATAAAGTTGATTGCCCATGGTGATTCACCCCAACGAACGGAGTGCAAGGCATATTGTACTTGTTTGTTAGGTAAGTAGTGTCAAAAGTCACTATATCACCGAATTCCTTGTATGCTTGTCTACATCTGTTGTCCGCCAAAAACACAGTCCTCAATCGAAAATCCTCATCCAAGTCCATACTGAAAATAAAAACCCGGACTGCATGTTTACATTTTCGAGAAGTAAGCATGTAATGCAATAACATCTCCTTCACCAAGTCTTAAACACCGCACTTTATCAACGAAATTTCTATAGTATTTCTCAACACAAGTCATGTTTTCAAATCCACCCGCCTCCACTACAATTGAGTTATAGCTTTTATGCAATGAGATTCCCGCTATATCATTAACCTCAAGCCGTCTTTTAACACGTTCACTAAGTTCACGATTGCATTGATACAACCTAGATTTAGATGGGCTTGTCTTATGGTTATGCTCGAACTCCACAACATTTATTCATCATATTCCACGAACATCAGAACACGATGTCAACCTGGCTTTGTACCCTGTTTCGATAGTTGGTGGATGCTTCAAAGAAGTACTCTTACTAATCTTTCGTTGACCTTCTCAACTACAAGTAAAACTCACATATCGAACGACCCCGTCATCACCCTTCTTAGTGTTTCTTTTTCTAACAGGAAACCCTATTTCATAAGCGTATTTCTTATAATTTCATACCAACCTTTGGAACGATAATATCATTTTCAACTCCTAACATATCATCAGGCAAACAATCATCACTTACAACCTCCAATGAGTACACCTCCATTCCTGTAAGCAAGCAAGTAAACAGCTCAGATTTCTTTTTTCCATGACTAATAAGCTTAAAGAAAGATGCAGATCATTTTCACACATTTAATTAGCTGAAATTTCATTTCTATTCAAAATATTGCATTCCAATTGAAAAGGCAGTAAGTTTTACCACTGTTAGCATCGCCTTCCACCATGTTGTCGCACGCCTGTAGGGATGTAGGAGATGAAGAAAAACTTATAAAGAGTGTCACATGAGATTTTCAATGTGCATATAGGCTGAAAAAAAAATCAAAAATTTCGCATAAAACGGAAACATAATTATTTCACCATTGTTGCCATTCTCGCCCTCGACTTCATCGACGTCCATACCGAAAAGCCTCCAAAAAATTCACTGCTACTTGGTCTTATTTCCTCGACGGTTTCCCTCCTATGTCATCTCTCGACCCGCCTTCTCATTCACCGGTGTCCGTACCGGAAAGCATCAATAGAAATCCGAGCTATTGGGTTGAGAGTTGTTTGACGGCTTCCCTCCTCTTTCCAGACGTCTTCGGCTTGAACATGGATATTTTGGTTTTTTTTTCTTATTATTTTTGAATTCAACTAGATTTTGAACCAAAATATCTCCAGCTCAGCATTATGGATACCATGATGTATAATGTGATGTACAAGTAGCAATTTCCAAAACTTTTTTAGCTTAGGCAAACCTGCTACAGTTCCCCCTCCTGTGTTATACTTGAAGCAACAATTTGTCATCCTTGCAGTGGTTTGGTTTAAGAAAATTAAAAAGAAAAAAATAATAATAATAAATTGCTTTGGAGTTCAGCTTCTACCATTGACCTGGGCTTGAATTGATGAAGTAAAGAATCTAGTTGAAACATAAAGCCAAGTACATTAAGGGCATGTTTAGCTCGGTACACATTATTACAATATAACAAACACAAATTTAACTCCCTTTCTTCTTTAAGTACAATTGCTTATAGCATGCACAAGCACAATAAAATATTAAAGAAAGGCCACAGTGACTCGGTGAGCAATGATGTTCTCGAGTAGTCATTTTCTCCGAGGACAAGTCCTTATATTGTGCCCGTTCTCATGGCAGAGGTGGCAAGTGTAAGTCCTTTTTCGAGAAACAATTGGAACTTTGTTTGCAGCAACAGCATTTGATTCTACATCAGTTTGGGACGTTAGTTGTGGACATGTCCTGCTATTGTGTCCAGATTGACCACAAATTTTGCAATGATGGTTTCTTGGCACCGAGTTCTTCTGGTCAATTGACTGTGATCTCGGACATGTTCTTCTGTTATGCCCTTTTCTCCCACATAACCGGCATCTGAATCGTTTATCTATTAACTTGTGAACTTCTGGGCAATAATTTCTCCTGTGCCCCTCTCGTCCACAATTTCTGCAGTAAAATTTCACCCCTGCAAAAAAATAGGGAGTACAATGAAATCTCAGAAAATGACAGTTTGATAGAAGTCGTCATAGGTCACACAAGAAGCATTTCAGAAAACCCCTGTACTTGCTTTATGTGAAATCTGTCTAGGGTGAAGAAAACTAAACAAGACCTTTCATTGAAATGCTTCTCTTGCGGCGATTTTCTGGATCACGGAAGTAATCTTTCATAGCATCAGAAGCACGCTTCCTTGCAGCAGCAGTGCCTTTAGCTTTCTGTACAAGTTAAAAACATTTCAAATAGAGATGTAGGAACACTAATAATTTCGGCATGATTTTACATTTGACATTTCATTCGTGCTAATTCAGTGA